GACGCGCGGGGCCCAGGGCGCAGCGTAATCTCTGGCAGCAGAATTGTGCCGACCTTTTGGCTAAGAAGGGTTTGGTCCCAGGGCGGCGAACCCATTTGTATTTTGCTCCCCGTCCGATGGATCGAGGCTTCTCGTCCGCGGACATTGTCTTGTTCTCTAGGGTGATCAGCGTCCACGTGCGAAAAATAGATGCGCTCTCGAATTCTAGGTTCACTTGCGCGGGCGTGGCGACGAGTGGCGCGGAGGCAGGTGACTCCCAGTAGGCGTGCGTCCTGAACTGGATTGTCCGCGTCGTTGAGGGCGGTGTTGAGATTGCAGGAGGGCGTCGGCGCGCAGAGCTTCTTGTGCGGGATCTTGTTGAGGAGAGGCAGATGCGCCGCGTGTGACGCGTGGGCGGGGTGCAGAATGCAGGGCGCATTCGACATCACATGCAGCGCTGTATCGTTTTTGTCAATGAAGCTCCGTGCACGAGCATGAAGAAGCCCAGCGAATTCAACGTGCAGGAGCTGAAGGTCTCGGGCATCTGTGCTTGGGCGGCTGAGAGCTATCCTGAATCTTCCGAAGTGCGCGATGCCGAACTCGTTCGATGCCATGGCTCTTGCAGACCGCGCTGGGGGCGGCATCTCCGTGGAGAGCACGGGCGGGCTGTCAACCTTCCGCGGGGTGCACTTGCTCAAAGAGCAGCTCGGCCGTGCAGGGCGCGATCGCGTTGCATGGCGGCGAGAGCGAGTGCTGTGCAGCAGTGAAATGTAGCGCTTACGCCTTGGTCACCGAATCCCCGATGGCGGACTCTGGTCTGTAGTCTTCAGTCCGTCTGGGCGTGTCGACGGACTGCGCGGCAGCGACGGAGCTCGCAAGTTGCCGAGGAGCGGGCAAACAACGACGCGCCCATGCACGTTATTTGTGGTTGCAAGGCCTCGTGGCGAGCGGGGCATTTGGGTCGTGGGGCTTCGGGCTGCCGAGTTGATGGCCGACCCTCTGAACCTTTGGGCGACGGCGATGGCCGTCGGCATGCGGGATTCCTTGATGGCGACAGCCGACTTGGACCTCGACTCGACCAGGGTTGTGCAGAAGGGACTTCTGGCCTTGCCCGATCTTTCTGGCCCTTGGCCATGGTTCATATAATCCCTGCTGATCTGGCATCAGTTGGTTGCCTGGGCCCGATGCGGGATGATCGGAGTGCTCGTGTGTCCATGCAGCAGTGTAGTATTAGAATGGGTCGGCAGGGTCAGGAGGCAGAGGGGCCAACAGTAACCATGCCCGTTTGGTTCAGTGACAGGGTGAGCACATTTCAGTCGTTTATGTTTATACATTCTACGCCTTCCAAGCGTTCCTACTGTTCCTCGCGTGCTCCAGCGACGAATGCCGCCAGACAGTCCGGGATTCCCGCGCGGCGTGAGCTCATTCTCGACCTGAGATCGGGAGAGGGAGCGTTGCTGGTGGCCTTCGGCCCATCCCGCCATCGTGCGTGGATTGTGAACGCTGGGGGCTTCCTGGGTCTATTCTGGGCTTCTGTGGGGCCTATTGGTGCCCTCTTGGAAGCCTTCTTGTATTGTGTCGAGGGTTGCTGGGGGCCTCTTGGGGGCTTTTTAGGGTCCTGCTGTTTGTCTCGGGGGCCATTTGGGGGTAGAGGGCCCTCTTGGGTCCGTCCCTCGTGGGGGTTTCTGGGGAGGTCTGTTGGAGCCATCTGGGCCTTGCGAGCAGCCTAGGACGTCTTCTTGGGCACGTATTGGTGGCCTCTTGATCCGTCTTGGACACCTTGAAAGGGACAGAGTTCTGGGTTGGAAAATCATCCCTTTTCAGGTTTCCAGCTATTCTCCATATCCGAAGTATCGCGCCTCTGCCTTTCTCCATCTTCCTTCCCGGGAAAATGCAGTTTTGGGAGGTGGACCTGTTCGATTCACATCCCCACGGTCCTCGAGATGTAGCAGACATGGCGTTTGGGCCACCTGGGGGGGGGGGGGCGGCCTGGGGTGTTGCCACGTGCCCTTACGCGCCCACAGTGTAAGAACCTCTTGGCCAGCATTGCTGTTCTGTTGAATGGGGGGAGAGGGGTCGACCCGATCATGGGGACGCCCCAGCCTGTCAGCTGCCTGGGTCTTTGACCAGGGAGGCTTATCAAGCCGGCCTGGGCCGCGAGTCCCTACGTCATTTCCCTTCCTCCTTCGAGGGATGCTGTGATGGAGACGCCCCCAGAGGAGTGGCGCCTGCCTTCGTGTACTGTCCCGCACCTTTTCTCTTTTACTGTGCACGATTTCTTCTGTAGACGGGCGCGTTCCAAGGTGCTAAGGAACGGAACGGAACCTGCTGGTTTTTTAGCCCCAGTACGGCGTAGTAGGCATTAGCTTCGGGCCGTTCAAATGGAAACCATCAGGGTGTATGTCACGGGCCCGTTCACGTTCAGATTGTCGGGACCCCCCATGCGCCCAGATTGCAGTACCCCTTCGCTCGTGCCCTGATTTCTCATACCCCGGTCCATCCACACTCACGCCAGCTCATTCCCAGACTCGCGTATTCTCAGCCATGCACAGTCAGGTTCGTTCGTTTCCATACCCATTCACGTCGAGGCGGTCTTAGTGCAGACGTGCTCGGTTACATTCGCTCTTATCCATGCCATTCATACCCAGACCCCTGAAGACTGAGACGACTTTCGTGCCAGTCGCTTATACTAAGACTGAGTCACACCCAAACGCACTTACATTCAGACCAGTTCACAGTCAGACCCACTCACACCCAGACTCGTTCATTCTCAGAGGCGCTCGCACCCAGCGGCTTAATGAGACTCAGTCCCGCCCTGACTCACCTACGCTCGTAGTCACTTTTACCCAGACACTCGAAAAGGAACGGACTAGAAGACACGTTTTGGCCTCGTGGGTCGGCCCGCTGGGCCTCCAAGACGAACGACAAGTTCCCCAAAACAGCCCCCAGGACGTTTTCTTGGGGGAAGGATCCGCCACGCGCAGAGGGGGGTGGGGGAGGGGGGAGGGCTTCTCAAAAGCACCGCTGCTTCTTAGAAGGCGCGGGCCTTCTCTATAGAAGTGAGGCTTGGCGCCTAAGAAGCAGCCTCCTTCTAAGAAGCCCTCCCCCCTCCCCCTACCCCCTTGTGCGCGCCGCCAAGCTGTAGCGTTTCTTGGAAGGCTCTGGGGGGACGTCGGCTGGGCGGGTTTGGCTCCCAGAGGCCTCCGCGAGAAGAGCCAGAAGCGCCCTGGAGCGCCCAAGGATTCTAGCAAGTTGGTGGGCCGGGCCTTGCGGCACTCCACCACGTGCTGAAGGCTCGGTGGCAGATGCACCACCTCCAGGCATCCAGGGGCCCATTTCTGGACCAAACCTTTTAGGAGCAACGTCAGGGGGGAATAGGCTCAGAGGGGGGATGCATCGTCTCCCAATGGCCCACTGATCGCCTATAGGGGCCCGATTGCCCACCTCACCCAGGACCATCCATTGACGATGTACCGCCGACTGCAGCTCGATATTTCCTCCTCTGAGCTGGTCCCCCCTGGTGTTCCCCCTCCTTGAGATCCGACGTTGCAACTTGATTGCAACACTAAGGAAAATCACGACAAGAGCCCCAAACCCCATATTTGTGCCGTGATGACAGGGTGCCCCATTTTGACGGGTCGGCAGATATGCATCCTGCGTCCCCGCAGTGCAAGCGCAAGTCGCTAGTCGCCCCGTTAGGGACATGGAGCCTGGTGCAATGTTTCGGGGGAGGTGCCTCGCTTTCGGGGCGGAGGACAACCTGGGGTGTGGTGACTTAGTCAACATTTTATTGCGCCAAACGGGATGGCGGTTTGACAACGGCAAACCGCGTGGGGGGACATCCTCACACAAATTGCTGTTTTGACGGCTCGAACTCGGTTCGAAACAATAGACTCCGGTTCGAAACAAAAGCAACATGGGCGTTTCGCGTGGGACTCCCCTCAAAATACGGCGTCCGACCCAGTTCGAAACAAAAGGATGACGGTTCGAAAACGGCAAACCGCGTGGGACATCCTAACACATATTACTGTCTTGACGGTTCGAATTCGGTTCGAAACAATAATAGCTGGTTCCAAACACTTCGAAAACGAGCATTTCGCTGGGGACTTCCTTGAAAATACGATTGGAACGTGGTTCCTCACAGTGGGATGGCGGTTCCGAAATGCCACACCGCCAGGGGCGTCCTCGCCAAAATGGCTTTCTTGACGGTTCCAGAGCGGTTCCAAACAAGAGAAGTGGGCCACGAACACTTGGAAAACGAGCGCTATTTCGGCTATGCTAAAAACGGGCCAAATTTTAGTCACGCCCATGTGTTTCCGCTACATTTTTCGAGCCTGATCGATCTGCGAGGGTACCGGGGCTCTAAAAAGTGGAATCGCCAGGACCTCAGGGCTCCCGCAGACTCCCCGCTTTCCCCAGATCACTGGAGACGGGATTTTTTCGGTCCGAACGATCGGCACGCCAAATCGGTTGCGACTGAGCGTGATTGATTCCGAAATCGGTCGCGACCGATAATCGGTCGCGACCGATAATCGGTCGCGACCGAAATAAGTCGCGACCGATTATCGGTTGCGACTGATTCGGAGTGTGAAGCAAAATCGGTAGCGACCGATCTCGGAATGTGGAGCAACATCGGCAGCGACCGATCTCGTCGGTCGCGGCCAGGAGCATCTGGCATCCAGTGACCCGGGTCCCCTGCAGGATCGGATACAGCCAGGACCACGGTTAAGGGGAGCTGGTTAGTGATTGGGCCCCGAAGCCCAAAAGATGAGCCAAATTTCACCGAACCAGGCCTGCCGCAGCTGGTGCATTTCTTCGCGGGGCGGCAGCTCTAGTTTCGTGGAATGCGGCGTGGGGGCGTCCACCTGTATCCGACGAAGGCATCTACAAACCACCACCGTGCGAAGGCAGGGCCATCCTGGGCCCCAGGATGGTGTAAAGACCCTCCTGGCCTCGGCCGGGAGGGCGTATGCTTCGATAAGCCAGGCCCCGCTCGACCCAGTCCTGTCGACGCCCGACAG